TGATAAGTCATTACTCTCGATTAACAATTTTTTTTTTTAGTTTATGTTTCGTGTATTTTGACTTGCTTTTCTTCAACGCGTTGTATTCTGTCCAGCCGTGACTCCGCCTACATCACGTGTGCCACAGTCACGCCTGCGCTAAAATAACTCTACTTTTAATCATACCATCGCGTGCATTACTTGTTCTGCATTCATACCTCAGCCAGCATTCGTTTAGTTCATCCCTTCGCACATCACCCTAAGTACTGTTGTTATGCGTTCACGCGCATCCATTGTTCTGTTGTCTTGCCCCCGCTAGTATCCGCTGTTGATACCTTCCTCATGCCTTCACTAACTCTACTTCTGTTAATACCGAGCCACCGCAACGGCATGGGCGTTGCGCTCGCATCTTCGGCAAAACAACTTGTATGGTAATCAAATCTCCACTAGTATCACTTGTTTTGCCCGTGGCGAACGTCTGCCTTCGCAGTGAATGGTTCTTCACGTTTCCGGTATGATTTTTAAGTCCACCAATGTGTGGGCCATCTAATTAGTCGAAGGAGAGAGATGTACTGCCCTACGCCGGCCACCAGTTACTGTCTTGCACGAGTTTGGAATGTAACTTTGAATCGATATTTTTCACCTGTAATTAATATGTTGATGCTCATGTTGGAGTGACATGCAAGATTTTAGATATTCGACCGATTGTGAATAAACAAGTACTAATGATGCAACGCTTTTTATTATTTTTTCATGGTTTTGCTATATATATATGGTTCCTCGATTTACTCCATAATTATCTTAATACTCTTCGTCAATGTGAGATTAAGTCTCATGATCAAGTCGAACAGAACTTGATTCCCACTCCAATGACTTAAGGAGCCCATAAACGATCAAGCGGCTTGATCATGCATGATTGTCCTTGTAGGAATCCGTTTGATTGAAGAAGTTTTATTGATGGAAAGATGCGCATGTTTCTAGGAAGTAGGCCAAATCAGTATTTATTAAATACGGATCGCACTGATCTCTTTTCCGATGGTAAAGAGCTTTAAAAAAAAGCTTGAAGGCCTGATAAAGATTGATTGAAGCTCACGTCAATCCTATGACTCAAGCCACTTGATCGTTTAGGAGCTCCTTAATTAGGACCAGCGATGCCCAAAATAAGATGCCCGTGCAAAAAAATGGGACGCGAGAATCTTTCTTGTGGCTCGTGAGGCATGAGTTTGATTCCACCTGGCTCAACAGTCTCGGGGGACATGAACTTTAAACATTACTTAATTTTAGCTCACAAAAATCCTAATGCCTAACACAAGATAATCTGGCTACGATTTACAACTTTAGCCTCGCGCCCGTTTCCAGCGGCCTACAGTTAATTGTAAACAGCTTATTATCTTAAAACTTTAGTTATTTGTTTAATTGATTTTTATTCAAGTTAAATGCAATTACTACTACATATTTGCGGCTATTATGAAGTGTCATTAGTTTGCGGAGACTTAATGTGATCTACAATTTAGACTCGTTTTATTAATGCCTGCGTGGAATCGTGGATGCGTGCATCAATCTGCGTTTGTAAGTGTGGATGATAATGATTAGCTTTACAAAAATTTTCACACTTGAATAGATCTGTTAATTAATTATATGCCGTTTGTCAATGAACTTCTTCAGAATTACTTTTAAATTAATAAAAAACAGAGTGAGCGTGAACATTCCAGAAACATGTATTATGAGATTAATATGTCGGAATGAGCATCGTCACGCGGAAAAAGAGAACAAAAAGCTGCATCTTAGTGTACCGTATACAATATAAGAGTCTCGGAATTATATCCGCTTCAGTTTTCTATCACAAATGAAACGAACAGAAAACGAGTGTGATATTTCTACCTGAAGGAACAACACTAGCACCTGAAATTTCAAATACCTGTTTTAAACCACTAAATGAACTTGGAATTTATCTTAACTGATGAATGATCGAGACGAATAACTTGCGGAAAGGTAAATTATCCGGAAGAGGACGAGCTACGTGCGAATCAAGGAATTGCCGCAATTATTATCCCGACTGACTTCAAGTAATTTATTCATTTATTTTTAAGCCAAAAAGGGTGCTCTATATTCATCTTACTCACTCATTGCAAGAATTATTGGTAGCTAAGGTAGGTTAGTAATTACAGCCAGTGTAGCTGCTCTTTATTAATTTTGCACATTCATCGCAGACATCATAGATAGCCAGTCCAGAGCCTAGCCTCGGCAGCCGGCCGGCGTCTGCGGTTGCTCGCTTCTAGGTAGCCTCAGGCTGCGCTCGTCTCTCTACTAAATTAGCCTATTCCGCGAAAGACTGAGATTAATCTCATGCATGCATAATGTGGGACCACTGTACGAACTATGAGTGCATACTTTCGGAGTACTTATTAAGACTCTTGTGGTTATTATACGATGGAAAATAGTGTTTATAAGACAAATTTTCCTGTTTTTCATTGAAATGTAGGCCACATTTTTGATATTTTTTTAATAATATAATTAAATAAGAAAATGAACTTAAATCAGAATTTTAAATGAGTGTCAAATATGTGCTGATCAATTCTTTTTACTTTTTTTTTTACTTTTTACCGATGGTAGCAAAAGGTTTCTCCTGACGAAAATGAAAAAAATTATTAATATTTATTTCGTAAAGAGGGAAAAGCGCACTCAGGCGTGATTTCGTACTCATCGGTTAAATATTCCGTTCATAATTCCGTCGCAATCAGCAAAATTTTAGGAAATTTTTCGTGCGCAGGAAGATTGCACTCTAAGCGTTCTATGATTTTAAAACTCGAAGCTCAATTATGTAATAGTCATGAAAATTCCTTATAGAATTTTGTACGCATTATTACGGATGTTGAAATTCACTGGTTTAACATCGATCTTTCATATGCTAATTGCTATTTTAGTTTTCATACCGTCAATCTTTTTAATTCTGAGCACTTCTAAGTAGAATTATGCCACTTGGTTTAAATTTTGAGATCCAAATCCACTGCTTCTACGTAGATTGTATTGCTCAGTTTTCCATTAAAAGCATTGAAATGTAAGCGGCAATGATTTCAAAATATTAAGAATTATATTACACAATTTTGTATCAAGGTAACTAATATTTTCGATTTTTAATAAATCAAAATAATATGATCCTCGCACGAAAATGCCTGAGTCCACGTTAACTTCAAAATTATCCTAATTACATTGTTCACAAGGTACTGCATGGAAGTCTATTGCTAGGGTTACGAAAAGACGTTTAAGCGTTGATGAGAGTCGAATGAAAGATCCCAACGCTCGACAAGTATAAAGTACTGTCAACCTTTTTTAATGATTAAATTTCACCACTCTTCAATTTGCTTTAAGTTTAGCAGCAAAGAAAAAAAAATTGAATCGCAACGATCTAATCATAGTTTCCTCACTGTCATTCAGATACCAAACAGACTTTTGCACAAATTTAGCGTTTAAAATCTGTACAACTATAGTGCAATATTAAGAGTGATATTTTTTTTAATTACTTCAGAGCAGAACTGCTAAGTAACAAACGTTTACTATTGGCAGCCCTACGTCGCTGTGACATCTCTTATCAGTTTCACTGCCTCAAATGCAGAATTTTTATTTCACACTATCATCACGTACATTATCGCTAAGATTTAGGTTCAGTTCCAGCCATTAGGTTGAATTTAGGCAGAAAACAAGAATTAACTAGAAAATTCACTGCCTAGATTTTATTAGAGTGAAAAATTGTTGAAAGATGTGATTTTGTTGTTGGGTTAATGAAAATCATCATTTACGCTGTCAGCCTTATTTAGCCCTAATCGTGGACTGTGAAACGTTGAAACAATGGAATTACTTCACTTTGCAAATTTATTCAAGTCGTCAATTACTGATAATTAAGGGCATCAATAATTCAATATTCAAACTAAAAAATAGCCAACATACATTCAAAGGACGAAAAGTTCATAAATATTTAGTTTCTTGAACCACAATGACAATGAATGGAGAGATGTTTCATCATCAGAGCAACCAGTGACTTTGCCTGTAACACGTTGTGTGTTCACTCAGGGAGTCGCCGCAGCATTTTTGTTTTAAGAGGTACGTCAAAAGTCTCCTCAGTGACCAATCCGAGAGCTCCTCTGGATGCCGTTCACTCAAATGAGATTCAGAGTGTCGGCCGAACTTAGTGAATAATAATCGGGTCGATGTTGACTCGCCTATTGGGGCGAGTTTACTAAACTGCCTTGTGTGTTAGAAGCAAATATTTTCCTATTCACCTCCTGCCATAAGTTGTACTTCAAATGCTGTCCAGGAAAGAGCTGCGTTTTGTTCTGTGATTGATGTTTGTTTAGTGGCGGTAGCAGCAGCTGCGCCGGCTTTTGTCAGCTCTTACTGACAGATTTTGGTGCCCAACGTAGACCTGTCAGACAATATCATGAGGTCGTACTTAGGGAAGGTTCATATTGGAGGAGCACTCACAGTAATAGCGATTATATTATTGCAAACTGATGCATGGGAGGTGATGTTTTCTGTTCTCCCCTTGCGCCAAGGCACGGCGCTTATTTTTATTTTCGTTTTCCTGGCGATTTCCATGTAGTGGTATTTTTTGTAAAAAAATTGACTGGCATCTGGGTGAGTACACTGACTTTCGTTGCGATATTTATACTCACGGCCAACGAAAAAAGAACTCTTGATCAATTTATTAAGGTTGATCAACTTTATCTTGCAAATTTCAAGCAAGGCTCTGACCATAGACATTGTGCTAGACAGCTAGAGTAACATAAATTTCTTAATACGCTCTCACGTAGAATGTTTGCGACATGATTTAGTAGCGATGTTTTACATTACTCTTGTGCACTAATGTCTTCACTGCAACCCAGCAACAAGAGAAATAGTTAGGCTGCCAAGTTAATCAGCAGCGGGCCATCGAATTAGGGGTGCAACGGGAGCAGGCGGCGCGGCTCCTCCTGCAAGCGACGGGCATGCCATAGTCCTTAAGCCCACTCAGTGTAGCTGACCAAGTGGTCGCGGTCACATCTTGTCTGTGGCTAGGCTGAGCTCGTGTGTCGCTCTCGCTGTACCTAACTTCTCGTCCATCGAGCTCTATCCGCCTGCCTCTGAACACAACTTGTGACCATAGACGTCCAGTGCCGGTGAAATTGACTGCAAGTGCCTCTTTCTCAGAGAACGGCACTCAGGGGCATAGGCCCCATAGCTTTCCTGGATAATGCGCCGGCAATTTTAAAGCCCTGTACTTTTTCTGTTGCCCGCCTCAGCACAGGTGGGTGCTGCTACTGTGTGATAATTAGTGACCGCCCTAAGTTAGCCTCCAGCACATACTTGTACCTCCGACTCTTCCATGGCTTGCTGTAGGCCCTCATAGCATTCGCAGCTCCATTGAAACGTTTTTTGTGCTGTGCTTTATTATTTTTCAGTTACTAGTCCGTGCAATAATTCCAAGTGATGTCTGTGTTTCATGTGAGAAAATCATTAGCCCATCGATAGCGTCCCGTTTCAGTGTTAAGCTTGGCGTGTGCCCAGCAGGATAATTTGTTGAAGGTGAGATTTTCTAATCAAAAGAATGCCTTATATAATAACTGGTATTTGGTTATTTTATGTACTTATACAAGCGTTTAATAACGCTTGTATTCCTCTAAAAAAACCAGCTGTATTGTTGATAAGGAAAAAAATATATCTTTCGCTAATATGATAGGTAGTCATTTTTCCAACTTCTAAGCCGTGTGCCGCAATGAACGTCGATCAGTCCATTGCGCCACTAGCCTGTTGTTGCCGGAAAGGAACCAACAGGCTCTAAACCCGACGTGCCGCCGAAAGTAACTAAGGACCGGACCGATGAAAAAAATCTAGAATTACTAATATACAGTAGACTAGAATTTTTATTACATCTAAACGTTATTTAAATATGTCTTCTAAGTTTTCGATATCGATCGTTGTAGGTACGTGGATTGAACTTTCCAGATATTTGCAAACGTCCAAATTTTGTTCGCGTTTAAGAGTACTTTACTTACCTGTGACAGGTGATGATGCAATAATTAAATTAGGAGGTCAATGGCTTAAAGCATGTAGCGACTCATAAGCCACGTGCTTGTTCTGTAAATTTATTAAACTTCGTTGTAAATTAATATGGACAAAGAAGAGGATATGTTATGTTATGAGGAGTTATGATCTTTAATGCACATGGTACCTCAATGTTGACATTCAGAATCTCAAAGTTATTGAGAAGTTGATGACCTTAATTTTAGGTATAATAAATTAATTAACTTCGTGCATAATTTCTTCCATTGCTCATGCCCTTTTAACCGTTCTAAAGTGAACGAGGAATCAATCAAATTGATTTCTTTTCGCCGGAGGTGGAAATTAAATTTTCATTTCACCAGCAGCTGTTCATGCAAGATGAATGAGTGCTACTGGAACTGGTCGTCATGGAATTATTAAGTATCAGAGAGGAGGCGAGTGAGAGATGTGGACCAGCAGGTTGTTGCAGATCTTGTAGGTAGCGCCTCGGCATGAACCAAGAATGCCGCGAAGCTCCTGACTCCAATCAATGGGCAAGATATCGCCGCAGTAAATTCTCAGTGTAGAAAAAAAAAGAGGAACTCTTGTCGTACCTGGACGGACCTATATTGTGTCGTGTTCATTTAACCAATTGTTTTAGAGTCTTATTAGGATACGTCCAAATGAGGTAGTCGCTCGAGACATGATTTTTAAACATTTTTCTTGTTTTTAGCATGGCTGGTGGAGTTTTCATTCGCGAATACTTGCAGATGCAGTATACTATATTCGCGTATACATGCAGTTCACAAAACATTAGTATCAGCTCGTGAAGCTCTCTGGTCTTGTGCATGGAAAATATATTATTGTTTTATAAATAATTTTGGAATAATATGTATTCCATTTATTAAGTTCAAGACTTTATTAGCTTGACGTAAGCTATTCATAATTGCAATTAATAACTATGAACCCGTTATCGAACATCATAAGTTAAATGATAACGGAAGTCCAGTGGAATTGAGATTTCCTTCAAAGTTTATGCGCAATTTCCTCGGGCAATCTCTCACTATTACGTTGTTTTCGATTGTTTGGTTATAAAATTATAAAATGCGTACTTACCTTAATTAATATCTTAAAATGCCCCTGTGCACCATTGCACATTTTTTCGGACGACAGAAAATTTTTAATTGTATATTATTATTTTTTATTTTAGTTCTATCTAACTGCTTGAATGCTGTTCTAGTCATTAGATTTGTCCACGGTGCTTAACTTCGGGTCGGAGATTTACTTAATAGAACTCAGACATAGTTTGCTAAAAATTAGATTGAGTAAGTTCAGCTCTGGTAATTGATTTCTTTTATACTTACAGTGCAAATTAGACTTAAATTATTTAAAGATAATATACTACTTTACTCTTAAAATTTTATATGTATCAAAGGTTTGGAATGTAAGAATAAATTATTCCTGCTGAGTAATATTGAAAGAGCATCATAGTGCACGATTATAAAGTTATGTGTTCTAGGTCCTAGCGATGTGATGCATGATCTAGGAGCTCATACATTCGGCAGGAGTTTGTGGTCAATGACTTGAGGCATGATGCTTGGTTATTCATGTTCACGTCTTGGCGGTCTAACACCACGCTCACTGCAATATCTCCCTCGCTATCTTGCTCGTATTCATCACCGCATCTCATATCATTGAGTCTAATGACAAATTCTTGCCACTACAACCCCAGTATGGCTGAAATTATCTGGCAATAAACATTTGAGTTGCGCTCTGTCGTCTGTGAAAGCTTGGCAAGATGATGCAAAAAAGTCCCTCTGGAATTCTAGTGATTTTTGCGCGGCGTGGAGGGAGGAGGCTGATGTCCTTGGCTCTGATCTTCCAGGGCAACCTAGTCTCTAGAGAAGGCGTTCGCTGCCATCCATCGACAAGGGCTTCTATTACTTACAAGCAGTGTATTCTCACTGTTTAAATAAATGAATCATAATTTACCAGTAAATAAGATTATTAAAAATATTTAGAATTCGAAGTAATCCGTGTCTACTAGAAGTCTTGTTTAAAAACATTTTTGCCTCGCTTCTAAATTGGAGTAAAACATTTTCTAAATGGGAGAAGTACATTATAATTTATCATTTATAGTGACGTCTCTAGACTGATAGGAATGCTTGTTGTATGACTGCCTTTTTTGTGGTTTGGTCGTTTTATCGTTTTTGATTCTAGTCGAATTATATCGATGAAGTCCATACCTACTGTTAGATTATACCTACTTAGATCAAATTATGATTCATTTGCTAACGAAAACGCTCAAACTGGATGTGTGTTTTATTTTCTTATTTTTATCGATATCCGGAAGTAAAATTAAACTGGAAATGTATTCATAGAGAACTACGTGTTACTTTGTTTTGCCGACCGCACAAAGTGCATATTCGAGTCATCTGTTCCTTGCTCGGCCATCAGGTACAGCGCACTTGATTCACTGGTCGTGGTTGGGTGTTCCGCATGCTACCTTCGTTGCCTATGTGGCAACATTATAATAAAAAATTCAGCTTACAGTCATTATACCTAACCATGGGAAGTAATAGGAAAAAAATAGAGCCAAGGCATCTGATTTTTTATGGAGCAACAGGTACCATTTTTATTAAGTTTTAAATGCTGTTATTGCCGACGATATCCTGATTCATCTGTATTTGCCGCAATTGCTTAACCTCTTCTGCATTAATAATTCTGTGATTAGGCAGCATGTTAGTCGTTTGTTATTAAAAATTAACTCGTCATTCAAGGATGCGACGACGTCTAAAATTTTGACCGTACTGCGCCCTCAGCTTCGGACAGCACAATAACTTTCATGTAGTCTGTTGCCGTAGAAGCATAAGTGTTGCTCCTGCAAACTCTTTATTTTCTATGGCAGTCAGTCGGGCTTTTGTATTACTTATTTTCTGCAAGATTTCCTATTGTGGCTGTCCTCATTCCCTCTATACCGTCTTCATTTTCATTTCAAAAATAAATATCAACTTTTTGTTTATATGGCATTAGTAATTAGTTATTCTAAAACAAAATTAATGACGTCATATGTTTGAAACACTTTGAAACTCAGCTGTTTCCTATTAGGTATTTCGGTTCTCACACCCATAGTTAGTGTGCCTAGTTGGTGAGGCGGAAATGCCAGAAATCAAGTCTTGGAAAAACACAAGGTTCGGGTTATTATTTTTCACCTCTACTTGCCGACACGCATTTTTAACATGAAGATTTATGCGTTTTCATAGTTTTACTAATATTTTAAGCAAAGAAATATAACCTTAGCATTAAAAAATTGTAAATCATGTGCATCTTGAGGGAGTTATACAGACATGTTCGATGCTTTCGTGCTGTATGCTGGCGTGAATATTTAATGAACTTCGTCATTGATTTAAGATTGATGTTGGCATATTGAGAGGGCAATTCGTTCATGAGTTAGTGCATGAACAGTCTCTCATCGAGATGAAAATGGATTTTTCAGCTTAGATTATCTCTGTTTTATTGAACGCAGTGCTCACTCTGAAAATGGTTCCGGCCTGATTTAGTTCTTAATGAGACAATGCTGCCTGGTTTTGCCAGGTTTGAAGTCTGAATGGCAAAGGTGATAGGATAGGCCGAAAGGAAGCCGCAGTGACGACGGGAAGCGAAGAGGAGGAGGCGGCGGGGAGGAGGAGACAGAGAGAGGAGAGGCAGGGGCTCATAGCAAGGCAACATTCCTGGGTCTACCAAATGCACGCGAGCGCTGCGAGGTCGAGCGGCACAGAAGACCCGCGCAGCTCTGCTTCCATAAATTGGGAGTAACGTCCAGCATGTGCCTCAGCTGAGCACGCTGCTTCACGTCATCGTTCTCAATTACTTACTGTGCTATGATTTTTCCTTTGATCCGGGCTATGATTTTTCCTTTGATCCGGATCAAATGGCATTAGATTCTTCCGCTTTCTCCATGAAAATTGCTTATACATCTGCTAAGTGATAATTTAGCCCAAATTGAGTGAAAGTTATGGCATATTCTTCATTCGTGAAGCGCACTTGGGTCACATTAGTGTTAGAATTAAACTATAAATTCGACCATAAGTATTATTCTACCTTTTCCTTCTTGAAACGTGCCGAAACTATGTGCAGCATTTCGGATAAATATGACAAATTAAACGCGATGGTTTCGTTTAGTCTCGGTACAAAGCGTCTTGCAGTGTCTCATAGAAATCATCCAAGTTGTTCTATTAAAGCACAATCTCATCACAATAAATATGCAACACAATACTGCTTCTAGACAACCTAACGTAATTAGACAACCTTAAACCTAATCCTAAGAATTTCATCACTTCGCAATGAGGTACTTCTACTCCGGCCCGTTCATCATACGCTGTGTGCGGCAGGCTTGCTTACGAGGCTGGTGGCGTACCGGCAGCGCGCTGTGTCCAGCAGGCTTACGAGGCTGGTGGCGTACCGGCAGCGCGCTGTGTCCAGCAGGCTTACGAGGCTGGTGGCGTACCGGCAGCGCGCTGTGTCCAGCAGGCCGGACCACGGGC